CTCTATATTAGATGTTGCTTAAAAAAATACTGATTCTTATTTAATTAATTAAAAATCTGCAATATCTACAATATCATGGTGGATTAAGAACTTCCAAAGATTTTCCACACAGCGTGAAAATCTGCGAAGCGCATCGTAATCTCTTGGACATCTTTTCGACTTCTACGTTATTTAGACCACTGGAATCTAGACACTACGCTCCCTCGTTAATCAATTCGAGCTACGTACTACATTCTTACAAGACGCAACAAACTAGCATACATATTTTCGCGGCGCGTGAATAATCCCACAGATTGCAGTCAATATTTCACGTCGCCCGCGCGCGGTGCATCAACGCATCATGTTCACCGATATTGGGAGTGCGCACAACGCTATCCGGATACGGTATTCCACACGGTAGATGAGCTACGTGACTTTTGCAGAAAAGTCACGGAATCCGCTTTTCTATGCGGCTGCACCTTGCTTCAAAGAGAAAAGCGTGACAAAGAAAGAAAAAAGGAAAGACAGAAACGACCAGAAACAAAAAGGGAGAAAGAAAGAGAACCCGAAGTCATAAAAGCTGATCGAACTCGTAAGAAACCGGCGCCATTTTCTCTCCTTCCTTTCTGCCTATGTCCCTCTTGCTTTCCCAGTCCGCTTTCCTTTCCTTTGCTTCCCCCCCCCCCCTCTCTCTCTCTCTCTCTCTCTACCCTTCCAAGCTCTTCCCGTTTCTGCTTCTACGTTCCGCTTGGATGACAAAGACGCTAAGCGGCTTCGCAACTCATCGTACGGTTACTAACGCGCGGTTACAGTTATGATTGTTAGAAAAGCCGATCAGGCAGCTTCTCAATCATGGCGAAAAAAACGGATGGCATGTCTAGCTTTGTAATAACTGTGTTTAGAAACTGATGTATACACGTTTGCCTTTGATCTCTTTGTTTAATTTAACAAATTTCAGATAAAGTTGTTACGTCAATGTAAATAAAAGTGCGCGAATCAAATACATGAAGAGTTAATTAAAGTGTCAATTCTACATTCTGGCATACACAAAAAGAACGGTTTTGCTTATACAACGAAAAAAAATTTTGATTAAAAATGAAGTAGATTCTGATCATATTAAAATTCCTGTCATAAATAGATATAGATATTTGGTTTTATCTCGACTAGAATTATAATAAATCGAGAAAAATATTCTGGTTGTATTAACAAGAAATATAAACAACAAAACGATTTTGATTAGGAATCAGATTTCTGGTTAACTCAACTAAAATGTATGAATAGGTTCAACTTTTCTGATTGAATCTATTCCAATTGCAACGAGACTTTTTTTTATTAGTATAGATTTAAAGATAAAATTCTAAATTATTCACACACATTTTCCATCAAAATCCTAATTAATACAATCTGCAGATTCCTTTTACAGTGTAGTATCTAAAAATTTAGCCGACTACTGATCTGAAAATAACTTTGTTAGACCATAAAAATTATTTTCAGATATATATGCAACTAAATTTTTAGACTTCAGCAAAATCATTCTTTTCGTGACGATTATTGATGTCAAAGAACAAATAAGATTCTATTCTACTAATAAAAATGAGTAAATATGAGTGTCTGAAAGTGAAAAAATTCCTTGCTGATCGTGCCTAAGAGAATCATCAGATATCACTCTTGTAAAATGCTCATTAGGAAAGTTAAAAGTCGAGAAAACACCTGTTGAGTACGTGAAAGGACCAATCGGAACATGGCCGAGACTTCATTTGTATTCCCGCGAAAAAAATAGTATTAGCAATCCAAAGTCAAGACGCAATGTCGCGCGAGTGTAATGGAAGAATGCTATTATGTATTTAAGCGGTTTATCACGCCGAAAAGTTCCGAATACTTCCATTTCTATTACTGTATAAAAAGCACTACCTGAAAAACGGTATAATGAATGATTCCGAAGTCGTTAACATTTCAAATGTCAATTTTAATATTACGTAAACAATATATCGTAGACCGGTTGTAAAATCGTAGAGAACTTCAACCGCGCAGAAATTTGAGCAATTCTATCAGTTGTTATGCTTTCATATATTCTATCAATTGTTATCACCGTCACTTTAACCGTTACAAAATGATCTCTTTTCATTCGACATAATAAGAGTTTTTACTTTCGAAAACGACAATCTGCAAAAAGGAAACTACATATAAGAATTATTATTCGTAAAATCTTACTATTCAAAACTGTTATACTGTCAAAACTGTAGAGATCTATAACAGAGTTTGAAAAGAATAATTTTGATGAAGTATTTAAAAATTTAGCTATTAGATATATTTAACTTTGAAAATAATTTTGTTGTATCAACAAAATAATTACATAAGAATCTCAAACATGATGAACAATGCAATTCAGTTTAAGAGTCATTATTTAAGAGAAAATTGAATTGAAGAGAATATTATAATAAACGGTATGAGGTTATATACTACCAGGGCATTAATGGCCATTACCAGGATTAATAGGCATTATTAAAGCATTAGTGAACATAAAAATTGGACATTATTGAGCATTAATAGACATTGATGTACACAATCTTGGTCAGTGGTTTACTTCTCGGATCTAAAGTAAGATCTCTTTCATAATAGTCACTAGAAAACAAAGTGAAACTTTTTTCAATTTATGCTTATGGCAGGATTCCTCAAAAAGGATCATCTTTTTCTCTAGTTGGAGCATTGCAGATTAGAAACAAGTTTCAAAAGTAATCTTAATGGAGAACTATGCGGATAAGAGCAAAGAATGAAAATGAAGGAAAGAAAGAAGAGGAAAAAAGTCATGTTTACGAGTCACAGGCAAATTCCGACGGGTTCTTGACTTGGCCATAACGATTGTATGAGATTTCCCTGGTAGGCCCTCAGGTAGCTTCTCCACTATCGACCGTGCCAGATTTAAAATTAAAATCGGAAGGCCTTAAGGATCTATCGATGGATACACTATTCAGGAACCCAGAAATATTCTACAAAGAATTCAAGATGCACAAAGAGAAAGTTTGAGAAAGGAAACGAACCGAATGTCTTGCAAAATGAATGCATTAAGATACGCTAATGCCCACGTTGCGTTACGCAATACATAAACGCTGAGTAATAAGTAACGAAGACATCATCTTGAACAATGGCTGTCGCAAAGGTTGAATTGGAGCCTCTCTAAGTCGAAGGCGAAGGATCTCGGTTGGCAGAAATAATTACATTACTCGTTTTTCCAGGCCGCGACTCATCAAACTATAGAGTTATTTCTTCGCGAACAATGTTCGCACTGAATCATGTTTCTGCCGGCAAAGAGATTTTCCAAGAAACGATAATATTCCGATTAAATTGTATGGCAATCACGTAAGCTATGTCTTAAGTGAATAATTGGAATTTTCCGCATATCAATATCGAAAGATACGTGGATTTCTGTGACATAATGCTTAACATTGTTCATATTCTCTAAAATCTTTGGAATCTAACTTTAAAGAGAGAAATCTCACACTTAAAAATTGATAATTGAGCTACTCTTTTTCAACATGGGCTTAATTGTCACCCTTTGTCATTATTTAAAATTAGATTTATACCCAAGAGATAAACCGCTGAGGGCATTACGGTCTATAAATTTGGGACATTACTGGGCATTACTTAAAAGAATTGTGTATTATGATAAGATATATTTTATATATATAAGGTTATGCATTACTAAGGAATTAATGGGCATTACTAGGGCATTAATGGATATTAGTAGGCATTAGTGAGCATTATTAGAGCATTGATGAGCAAAATTTGGGCATTAGTGTATAACAATTAGTAGGCATTGGTGTATAACAATTTTGGTCAATTTACCCCTTGAGTCAATTTACCACTACTCCAAAAATTTTAGAAAATAAAGTTTATAATTTTTATGTCCTCAATATACTTAAGCAAGCAAAAATTCGAATTACCTTATACACAGATTTCGAGTAGTGTTAATGTGCGATTGAGAACAAATTCATTAAACACTCTTCGTATTACCATGAATTTATACACACAGCAAGATTGGAGGGGGAAACTATCGGTTAACGTTAATTGAAGCGGTCAGTGAATCTACTTGGCGAGATGCCTACGATTACTAGCTAGATGTTAGTGAAGGACAGGGCGAGAAAGGGCGAAATGGCTCTTAAAACGCAAGAAAAAGATCCATTAAGCGATCAGACAACGTGAAGTTGGGTTATTCTGCTTGAATAAATATGACAAGAGAGAAAAATCGTAAGAAACGGACGTCAGCCCGATTTTTTCGCTCATTAATTATTCGCGACTTTACAACCACTGCAAATAGCAAGCAAACAGTGGTGCTTAATAAAATGATATTTAATAAAAGAAAATAAACTCACGAGCTCGTTTTAGAATTCGGTACGATCGTTAAATGGACGCGCGGCGAGATGCAATCGTGTGCGCCAAAATTGATCGACAGGCCGGTATTCGTCGCTACTTTCATTTCCCCGTATAGAAACATTTTTGGCATCATCTCACTGAGAAAAAAGACCGCAAAATGTTCGGTATGTCAATTTAACTGACACATGATGCTGTTCTCTTTATCGAAAAAGAGAGGAAAAAGAAAAAAAAGTATTATCGTTGATAACAAATTAATGGTCGGCAGACAGTAGCTGTTTTAATTTATATTCGCGGAAATATTTCATCATGATACAGCGTTAGTTAGATTCAGTTAGATAGATTAGTTAGTTCGCGACATTCATGTAGTTATATTTAAAAATATTAGTCACATAAAAAAATCAACGTGCAAATATCAATAACGATGACTTAACATTTAAACAGGATGACTAAATTCTTCATGAATATTTTATAGAAGTAAAAAAAAGTAAAAGGAATATCTTTTACGTTTTTCTGAAACGAGTGAGTACTCGTCAGATATTTGCGAAAAAAGATGATCAATATCGCCATACGCGAATGCATGCAGAAATAGATGGCGAAAAAAAGATAGTTTCGCCGATCATCAAAGTAGAATAAATGGAAAATATATTCACCCTAACAGGGGCACGGAAGAGCGAAAGAGCATCATGTGTGGAGAGATGTATATTGGAGTGATGATGCGCGTGGTTATGGTGATGATGATGGTGTCTCATATCAGGACCACTTCCCGCAGCCGCCTGCTCCGCTTGGACCGACATCGCCGCGCGGGCCAGTCGATCTCGCTCCCGAAGCCGGTCCCGTTCCACGCTGAAAATCAAAATTATCATCCGGTTAGTCCCAAATGTATTCATACAAGATACGAGTAAAATGTTCCCACAACGAAGTAACAGAATGTCAGCATTAATTTTGCATAAACTTCTTTCTTTATCTTTATTGAGTTAGCAGGACCAGATCAGTAGAATCAAAGGATCTCTTGGAATATTTAATACCTTATTTGGATTAAATTTTAACATTCCTTCTTCCAATCGCTTTATAACAGGATGCTACAATCTAATATTATATTTAGAAATTGTAAACAATTTCAATGCACCACGTGGCACACTAATTGTAAGAGAAAATTATATATAATTTTTTTTACATAGTATATAATTTTTCTTATAAAGTGTATTTACATTAATCTTTTACAGTGTATAATTAACATTTTTCTGTTAATTTTAACATTTTATCTCAAAAAATCCACTATAGGTACATCTTTAAGTTAAAATTAACATTTCGTTTTTTATAGTAATTACATATCATCATAATTATATAGTAGCATTGACATAATTGTTACTATAATTATATAATTATTATTGCTATGTTAATAATAATAACTATATGTATAGTCCTAATTAAATATATATATACATATATATATAGAGTTGGCACTACTAAAGTGACTAAGTGATTACAAATTATTATTAAAAATGGTTACAATATCTATAATTTAACTATATAGTTCATAGTCATTTTCGATGTTATCTATAGGTATATAATTCGTTGATTGAACTATACATTATATATATAATTTTTCGGTATTAATTATCAAGATGCGGATGACAGTCCTTTGGAGGATGGAGGATGGAACTCTTTTTCCTCTTTCACAGAAAGCGAGTTCACGAAGGTGAAATTCGTCTATATGACGCAGCGCCGAGAATAACTATCAGCCTTTTAGGAAGCAACGATGGAAGCAAACGAGTTAAGACAAGGCGAAGACAGGGACGAAAGAGATTCGTGGCGAAGTATAGCGAGGGCAATCGCAGCTGGCGTTAACACCTGTTTAGCTGAGTTTCCGGTGACGCCGATATTACGTACCGAACGGAACATTACAAATTTATAATCGTTGCCACTCATAGGCAAGGATGATCGTAATAATTACTTAAATTAACAATTAATAATTATAAGTTAGATTAGGAAAATAATAATCTTATACGTTAATCAATATATAAAATAATTTTTCTACACAATTGAGATAAATATAAATATGTAGAAATCTAATAATGTAAAGAAATGTAATAATTTATGGATTTTTTCGCAATTTATAAAATAAAGATTAAATTATAGATCAAGTTGTTTCAATAATCTAAATTAAAAAATTGACATTACCTGCATAACTTTAAAAACTAGCGTATCATTTTCAATATAATAAAATTTTATTTTGTCTCTGCTCCGAAAGACTATTTCATAAACCAATGTTCTCTTTCAAAAGTACCGCATATATAAATTACTTGCATTTTTGTATTTCAATTCGCAACATATAATGCAATCAAAATGGCGAGTATGGAGCGAAAAGTGCTTCACATAGACATTTAAAGTTCGACCGGGATGGTTTTCTTTCTCGTATATGCGTTATCTGACACGCGTTGAACGACTTATCAAGGAGTGATGCTAATGGCGCGCGATCTGATAGAGATATATATATATATATATATATATATATGATCGCAGCAGAATTTTTCTGAATGCATTAACATAAATAATACACGTGCAGCGGAAAAACACGCGAGTGTAGTAAAGTATCACGTCATTCTTTAATCAAGATAGAGAGACTTTCCTTCATAAGATAGGAAACGTAATAAACAATCGAAAAGTATTTTTTCTGACAGGAAGCATCAATATTGAAGAAAAAAATATGCATTATACGAAATGCATTGTTAAAATCTAATGTCGAATTATATATATATATATATATAATTTAACAATATATATCATTAGAGAAATCTCATGTTTACAATTATATTTATTATGTATACGCATTCTACTTATCCATTGTAAAATCAATAAACTGAGGTAAGAATCTACACATCACAACATGAAAGTATTTAAGTATCGTAAAAATCAGAGTAAATATTGAGAACGTTTACAGACATTTATAAAACGATAATCTTTACTTCGAGCCTGACACTCACAGCGTAAACGGTCTCTCAGAAATCTGAGTTTTATTCTATAAAGTAAGCACGAATTCCGATTAGAAGTCAATTTGCCGAAGCGCGATACTTTCTCGATACTCGAAATACACAAAGCGAAACGAAACGTGCATGTCAATGAGTGAATCGCTGCATTGTCATGCAAATTAAACGTACCAGCAATAATCACTGTTCGCCGCGATCATTTAATTGCAGATGAATGTTAAGAAATTATATCATCGTATATATTCGATAGTTTTCTATTTCTAGATTATTCTCGGTTTCAGAAAAAGTTATGCCAACTTTCATTTTTCGCACGCAATCTAATCAACCCAATCTATAATTGAATTGTTTAAATAAAAAATAAATAGCATCTATATTAATGTGTGCATTTATAATTAGTAAATAATACATTAAAGTCAAATTTAATACATTTCTTGAATTTAACTGTTTAACTATATTATTTCAGCTAAATTTTGAAGTTTTAATATTACAACCTTGGTCAAAGTATAAAGCACCCTCACAAATTTATATTAGGTGTGGGAAAAAGTTCGTGGCGTTTTTTGAATGCCATCTAATGGGAAAAATGCCACGAACTTTTTCCCACACCAAATATAAACGTTTTACCTAACAAAAAATAAATTAAAACATTTTACTGAAAAATAATTTTTATTATTTTTATAACAATTTTAATCCTCTGCTGGCATGACAATAATGATTTTAACTCTTTCATTACTAAATAGAGATCTTTGAGAAACAAAGGGCATAGATTTTTTATTTTGGATTACAAATCCTGAAATAAAATTCTGCTATAATTATCAAAGCTTTAACAGAATTTTTATCACCATAGAAGTCAGATGGCATTTTATTTATTTTTTGCAGATTTAACTTTGTCTACAAAAATACACAATTAAAATATTGATGATACCTTTAAAGACTCTAATTGACAAAGAATTAATATTTTGTTAGTCTTTCTTTAGCTTTTATTACCGCCAGTGCTCTTTTGAGAAAATAAACTGACGCCTTTATACTTATGGGTAAGGTACTATCTCACTGCAATTAATTCTTACTGTATACGCAAAAGTATTAAAATGTAAAAACACTTGTGACACACATTTTTCGTCATGCACGTTTCACATAATCGAAATCATACGATCCCGTTTGTTAAAATAACAATCCAAATTATAATTAGCGTTCCTTCGTTTCCCTTCACGATGTATGCGACGTCTTTCCTTCTTATTAATTCAAGCCTGCTTATTATTCGTGACGGCGAGAAATATCCGACGGAAAGTTTAATCGCGTCCCCAGTCGTGCATGTAAGCGACTCGGTAATTTCTCGAGACCCGTAATATAATCGAGCGAAGTTAAGAACGACTCTATTTGTCGTGGAGTGTGCGCACTTACGCTACTGGGATACATTTATCTCATTGCCGCCACTGCAGAATCTCTTTTCGCGCATACACTCACACGGAAACAGCAATTTTGCTGAAAAATCTAAAAATTCAGCTAGATACAGATATGAAAATAATTTTGCTGGACCATCAAAATAATTAGATAGGATGACAAAATTGATTACTAAAATAATATCAAAACATTTAGCAGCATTGCTCAGCATACTTAAAATTTCCACAAAATCATTTTGATGATCCAACAAAATTATTTTCAGATCTGTATCTACCCATTTAGAATCGCCAGCAGTTACAACGAAACTAACGCTTAGCCAACGCTAATGTCAACTGACGATCAAGGTTCTGTCAATCAGTATACTGGGTCATCACTGGCAAATGATTGGCCGTCAAATGATGGCCAAAGTTCTGTCAACCAGTATTAGCCAATATTAGATCATCACTGACAAATGACATTAAAATAACTAGGCCAATACCATCTGCCAATACTGAGTTCACGTTATCATCCAGTATTTAGCCAATATTGAGCCAGTAGTTTGTCAATACCTGAATTGTAGCAACCAATAAAATAATAATTAGCACTAGCTAGCCAATTGTAAAACCCTATATGAGTAGATAAATTTTTAAATTATTTAACAAAATTGCCCTTTTCGTAGCACATGTCTATTTAGATGGTATGTTTTAGTCACACGGATTTCTATGGCCGAATGCGGTCTCTTCACTATGATACTTTCTCGACCGATACTCTCGACACGTCCCTCCGCGTGTCGTCGGGTTCCATCTCTCTTTTTCTTTCCATCGCGCCACTTCATGCTTCGCTAAATGTAACTAGAAAGTATACTCTTAACTAAATCGATGCCAACAGAAAAAACTTCTAAGTGTCGCTTAGCACTTAATTACGATTTCGTAATGCTCTAACATAAAAATGCGTGAAACAAATGTGAATATGTAAAAATCTCATAAATAAATAAATTTACTTTCAAAATTAGATCACTTTATAATTATCCTATTTCAATTTACTTTAGTTCTAAAGTTTTGGCACGTTTTTAAATATGAATTTCCGTTCTAATTATTTAACAATGTTCCATAATTTAACTTCATTCTTATTGATTCGACAATATTAGTTCTTCGTGCTTTTTCATCCTAAACGAAATTCGACGCAAATATTTAAATTGAGATAATTCTCTTTAGTTAGCTTTTTTCTTCATATGGAAAAAAAAACGCGAAAGATACCAAAATATCTCTCTATCCCGAATCTGCGCGAGGAAGTAAAATTCCAAGCCGGCACATCGGTCGGCTCGGTTTTATTGAATATCTGGGAATATTGTCACAGAACGGTCGAAGTTCATCGAGCTAACGAGCTCGAACCGCTCTCGACAAGTGGCGAGCGTACTCCTCTCTGTCGGTTATTTGCGCGATCGAAACCCGGATGGTCCCCGCGCGAGGAATGGATCGG